CAATCCGCATGAGCGACTTAGTGAAATGCGGCGGAAACATTTTAATGCCGATTGAGGTGTTACGGCGCAATTCAGCAATTCTTATGTTATAAATGGTTAAAAACTTTTTATCCCGTTTCAGTCTACTTCCTACTTGAACTTTGTTCTCGATATTACGACAACGAATTGCGAATATAATTGTTTCGAATTCAACTTTGGAATTTCATGATGTCTAGATTTCACTGAGTGAGACTTACAATTGTAGCCTGCGATCTTGTTTTCCCTCATGTGCTTATTTGCGGGACGGGGGACGTTCTTTTTTCCTTCTTTTCTCAAAAAATAAAAAATAAAAACGCCTGATCGAAGGTTATTTGGGAGTGACCAAGTTTTGACTCTAAGGTCTAAGCGTACTAAGTTGTGGAATATCTCAGTTGGCTTCAGTTGACCTAGTTCTTCTCCTTTCTCTTTGTAGTGATTTCCCGTCAATGTTACGAGTGCTTAAGTTTGCACTCTTTTAAAGACTGCGACGCCCACCGAATTTCGGGGTATTGTTCATCCCTAACGTGTAGCAAAGTGAAAGTTTACACAGCATCTGGTCACAGGGTGTACGCTAAAGGATGCGCTAAGACTTCTGAGACTTGCTCACCATCAGCCATTCCACAATGCAACAAGCCCGGAGTCAAGTGTGAAGTGAATTGTTGCTCTTCTGACTACTGCAATGGAGCCTTAGGTCCTGTGGTGAATGGAATTCTTCTTACTGCCATCGTCACTGCTACCTTCATGATCTTATTCGGATTTAAGTGAGTAGAACGCATCACGGGCCATCCCTTCGACGATCAGAACTGATCATAATATACATCAAATAGTATTTCATAAATTTTCTCCGAGCGTAGGCGTCTGTTAATAGTTAAAACTGTAGTTTACAATTGTATACAATTGACAGATCTACATATTAATAACCTACACAATCTAAACATTGAAAGCACTCATTAAATTTCAAAACAAATTATATAATACCGTTTCAATTTTTTTCCCCCCTTAAAAAAATTGATCGAATTTTTATCTTTCTTTTTAACGGACACCTCTTTATACGACAGCTGTGACCATGTTGTTCCTGGAAAATTAATCTAGCCGCAGAATCTTGCCCTCATTTCAGCTTATTACGCTCCTTTGAAAGGCAAGCAAGCCATGCTAATAACTGAACGACAGTACGACTAGAAACAAATGGGTATCCTGCGTAGCAGGCGTCGAAAGGGGGTAGGGGATAGTAGGGAGGAAGGGAAAAAGGGAGGAGAACAAACAAACAAACGAACAAACGAAAAAGACTGAAAGAAAAGGAAAAAGAAAAACGAGCCGTTCACGTGGAACGACCGCTGGCAAGCGCCCTTTTAGCTGATTGAGTTGTATTAACACGAATTCAACGATATATTTCTAATCAGGAAAATAACAGGACTTTTGACGGTAATGAACCGAAGCTATAATTAAACGCATTTCATCGCCTTAAAGAACATATGCATACAGAATCGGCCCCTGATGTCCAACAAAGCCAATACAACTTGTCTGTTTTGTCTGCTAATGGTCCAAATCGCTTTCATTTTGTCATAAACGTATTGTTCCTGCCTTCGAAATTTAACGCTTCAAAGACTTTCTTGACGTCTCAACGTCCGCTAAAACTGACATCCGGGCCAGTTTTGTGGCAGTTCTGTTTACTCACTGCTTTGTTTCTAGGCAACCGCGGACATCCAAACCGATAGAAAAAAACAGGACCGCCTTTTCATATAATAATTATATGTTCCGTTGCTCTCGGAAATTTTCCGCTGGAGCGACCCAACAGAAACCTTTTGAAAATAGTCAACAACAAGGCGTTCAGATGGTAGGGAGCGAGTTGGATCGTACGAGGCGAAAACGTGGGGAAAAAAACAGGGGAGACTGGGGCTCCTCTTTTCCCGCTATAGTGTCCCCTCGTTTTTTTTCCTCGTCAATTTTTCGCCCGAGTACTACTATCCGAACACCTGGAACAGGCTAATATATGCCAAAGAAAGATTTCACTTCGCTTAGCGATCCTCTTGGTAGCTATGCTGGATGCGAATTCCAACAAAATTATAAACCACGCTTCGCGTGATTGTCGTCGCTCTGCTACGAATATAAATTCGTCTTCTTATAACAGTTCAATTAAAAATTCAGCTTTAAAGCAAGGGTTATCAAATATGGGAATTCATTGATACTGAATTGAATCTAACCACCTGCGTCCTCTAAAGTACTTTTCCTACTGCGAAATGTAACTGCACGTCGTCTCTATGCAAAATTTAATTGTGTTGAAACTTTACTATAGTTTAATGAAGGAACTGAATACAGAAATATCAGTGCTTCTCCCGAGCGAAAGTGACGCTAGCAATTTGAAATTCAAGTCGAACTTTGGGTTTTTCGTTGAGTTATATTCCTGGAATATCGAGGGAGAGTACGTGCTGTGCTAAAAGCCATATACACTCTTCTAAGTTAGTTTCCTTCATAAAATCATTGGGCATGCGCAAGTTGAGGGTCTTTGTCAGGAAATGTTGTGAATATCAAAATAGAAAGAATGTAATACGGTACTTAATTTATACGATTCTTTAATTTCCCACACTGTTCCACCATTGAAAAATATGGGTTTGAGTTAGCACAGACATTCATTTGGTCGATTAACGGCACAATACAGTCATTGAGCGGTACACTAAGTGGTGCAAAAATTAAAGGAGAGGTAGAACATGTAAAAGGGTTTGAAATACTACTGACACCTTGAGAAACTTACAAATTGAAACTGGTTTTATCCAGTTCTGTTCCTCGAATATTTGAACTTAATTTTCGTTTCCTCTGGAGTACGTGCTGTCCTTAAACCCATGGCCATACACTCTTTTTTCACTTACAGTTACATCATCTGCGTCGGCGTATTGGGGTATATAAATGCGGGCAGTTTCTCTGATTGTGGCCCCGTTTGTTTAGTTTTTTACACCTACGTAATGAAATTGCGTCGATGTCTACATGTTGAGACAAGTTCGTCGCGCTTGTTCAGTGTTGCCATGTGAGGCCTACAGATTAAAATTAAACTTCTCTGTGGTACACAGATTGCAACGTTTAGTAAGGTTGGTGTAAGGTTTAATTCTTTGCCTGCCACCTTTAGCTGCCACAGGTGTTTACTCAGCTCAGTCTCATTCCTTCTCTTTTCTTTTACTCAGCTCAGTCTCAATCTACGTATGCATCGTCATGTTCCTTTGCTGATGGGTATTTACAACAGCTATTATGGCTTGAGTCTCTTGTCGAGGAGACTGCACGTCCATCGTCAGTTTTTGAACGAAGTCCACTAAGGACTTGATAAGAACGGCATTAGAATCCATATTGCCCGCCGGTGCAGCCGCTGCGGTCTCGGTGTGTGCTGAGTCGTCCTCGATCAAGTCGTGGCCAGGGCACTGCCCGGAGGGCCAAAGCCGAGGGCTGATTTTAAAACTTTACGACGGGGACATTTACTAGTTTTACTTGGTTTAACCATAATAAGGGAAAAGACTAACCACGAGCAAAGGGCAATCCAAACATCCAACGCAAAGTGAAATATGAGAAACGACAATCTGATACTAGTAGAGGTTCTGTTGTTTGTGCAGTTAATCCCTTTGAGCACGTGCATGCCCAAATGGGGTAAATTTTGAACTATTAAAGGACTTTTAACTGGAGTTAAGATTTTTTTCTTAGTCTTTTGGTAGGATATATATATATATGTTTTTTAAATTACCCATTCGCCCCAACCGTCAAAAGTACCCAAACTGATCCAATCGATACATTCAATGATCCAGAACGCTAAAAAAGTAAAATTACGGGTACGTATACGTTTTGTTTTTAGTGATCAATTAACGGTATATTAGCACGCAGTCAATATAGTTGTGATAATTACTATGCGATTATATTTATGCCATTTTACATTTTATGCACTTTTAGTCTTAAGTTTTGATCATGTCAAAAGTAGTCTTTCTTAATACCATTCTATGCCAACAAGAATTGGTATTCATTTGGTTTAACTTTTCGACCGAATTGGTTAAAAAATGTGAAAAAAATTATTGGAAGGACAACTTGGACAGACAATGGCAAAGACGAAGAGAAGCCGGATCAGGAACAGCAACATACAATAAAACTTTAAATCAAAGGGAAGGCAGTTGCATGGGTAATTTTGCCCAATATATTTCGGGTAGGCAAACAGACTAACCTTCACCAGGGACCAGAAAAGCTCAGGGAAATATTTGCGAGTGATAATTATAATTATCTCTAGATCCGCGTTTGTAACGATCAATGCGGAAGTTTGAGCCTCATATAAGTATTGAATCACAAAATATTAATCGAGCCACACAGGCCAAGGTAAAATTTCCCAGTTTCCTGACAGACAGGAAGAACTGACTTCTTTTGAATATTTCAGTTAGGACATGGAGTTTGAGTTTGACATGATCAACGGGGACAGAAATGAGAGAGAGGTTTCAAAAGCATGACAATAATTTTTCGCGTGCGTCTCTCTGTTTAGTTCAATGCATGACTGGGGTATAATGGCGATAATACCTTTACACTTGTTCAAAAGCGGTTGACCACCACAGTTTATTAAGTGACTCAGATTTATCGAAATAGTGATGAAACTCAATATCCACGGCATAATAGTAAAATATGACTGAGGTAATGAAACCTTTCGCGGTTTTTCTAATTATCTATGTTTTTTTCTCTCTCCGGATGAACCGGTTGTTAACATCAGAGGGGCGTGGCGTTACAACTGTTCAGGCAGTGGGTGTTGACTGGCGTCGTTTTGACCAGTAACGTCCAAGATCAATTTTGACAGGAACTGTCTTGATTAATATAATTGACAATCACTTCTTCAAAGGTTACTTCAGTCAGCATTTGAGGTGGGCCCAGTATTCTAGGTTTGCCATTTTCACATTAGTGCTTCAAAGAGCAAGCAAGCATACTCCTATATCTGCATCGATCGCGGTCAACGAAAGAGGAACCCGAGATTCAACATGTCGACTCTGCAGAATGTAGCTCTTTTCATGTTCCTGATCTTCTTGCCAATGGGTAGGGCTGTATTTTGTAGTTTGCTCCTCTTTAATATTTCCTAAGTACATTGCATAAGTTATATATCCGCCGGCAATTTCGTTCTCATGCTAGTAACAGTGGCGGACCTCGTGAAACTAAAACCAGAATTTGATGAATTTTCTCTGCTCTTTCATATTACGTCAGCTTTTGTAAGTATTCTTCTCGGTTGAAGACTCTCTGCATCCATTTCTATCAACGCGATTCTGGGGTTGCATGACGCAACGGCAAAAAAAGATAATGGTATCCGCGTTGACTCAGCAATTCTTAGATTATTTTTACTTTTTGTTTTGTTTTTGGTTTAATTAAAAAGGTTTGCCAGGTTTGCAAAGGTTTTTCTCGTGAATTATCTTAAGAACTTGGTGAAAACCTCAACACAGTAATTCTTAAATTGATTTCAGTTAGTTAGAGCTAGAACTATGGCTCCAAACACCGTAGCAGAATTGTTGGCCTTATTGACCTAACTCTAGATCTTCTTTAATTGAATTTCGTTGCAGTGATTTCCCGAGAATGCTATGAGTGTCGCAGTTCGTTCTCTTTCCAAGCTTGTGACGCCAGTCGAAGGAGAGTAAGGTGTTTGACCTCCCAGCATTGCATCACAGCAAGCGCCAAAAGAACATCTGGCATCAGAGATGAGGGATACGTTAAAGGCTGCGCTGCGACCTGCTCAGCATCAGGCATTCCAATATGCAACAATCCTAACTACAAATGTGAAGTTAGTTGTTGTTCTTCTGACTACTGCAATGGAGGGGGAGCCGGAGGAAGAGCCCCAGGGGGAGCCCCGGGGGGAGTCTCGAGTCCCATGGTCAACAGGATTCTTCTAATTGCCACCTTCACTGCCAGCGTTATGTATTTGTTCAGCTGTTAACAAAGAGCCTGCACTACTGGCGAAAAATCCGTCTGGAGAGCATGATCAGAGCTAATGATACAAAAGTATTTCACTGACGTTTTCTGAGCGTAGCCTAAGTTAATTCAGTGTACGTTTAAGGCTTTAAAATTTTCAGGTATTCAACGCAGTTAGTAGAGCAGACTGGTTATGTAAGGCAGCTGATATTAAAGATAAAAACAACAGTACTGCAGTTTATTTTGGAAGCTTCCTGACGATGCACAATCCTATTCTTTTTTCTGATCCCAAATCATGACTGAATAAATTAACACGACGATCCATGCCGAGTCTTTTTCTAGTGCGTCAAAATCTACGAAATAAATTTTAAAAGGCTCTGCTAGCAAGGTGCAGTTGAAGGTGTACATGAATAAAGCCAAATGCTGCAAATTCGACATGTTAAACGATGTTTTTTCTTAATTCTAGTTCCGCGTTCGCTAACGATCAATAGAGATATCTGAGCTTCAAATAAATATTGAATCACAAAAAAATCGAACCACACAGGTAGGATCTGTTTCGAATTCCTCACAGACAGGAAGAATAAACTTCTTTGGAATATTTCAGTATAAGGACAGGGAGTTTGAGATGGACAACGGACAGAAATGAGAACTTCAAACTGTTAGCAGTGGGTGCCAGTGACCAAGATCAATTTTGAAAAAAGGGAATTGTCGCGATTAATAAAATTGACAATCACTTATTCAAAGCTTAATTCAGTCAGCATTTAAGGCGTGTTGAGTATTCTAGGTGTACCATTTGGTTAATGATTCAAAGAGCAACCAAGCACACTCCTATATCTGCATCGATCGAGTTCTGAAGGAACCAGAGATCCAACATGTCGAATTTCTCAGCACTTAGTTGTTTTCGTGTTCCTGATCTTCTTGCCAATGGGTAGGGGTGTATTTTGGAACCTGCTCCTCTTTATTATTTCCTCAGTTCCTTGCATTAAGTTTTAATCATACACCGGCAGTTCGCTTTCATACTACTTACAGTGGCGGACCTCGATCGTGAAACTAAAACCAGAATTTGATGAATTTTCCTTTCTTAGCAGGTAGTCTTTTCCGCCCTGATTTTAATGTACGGCAGCTTGCGTGAGTATTCTATTTGGTTGAAGACCCCCTGCAATCATATCTATCGACGTCATTTGGTTTTCTACTTTCTACAACGTTTAATGCATGACGCAACCGCAAAAAAAAAAAAAAAAAAACTTCATGGTAAAATACTTGACCATGTTGACTCAGCAATTCTTAGATTGCTTTAGTTTTTTGTTTAATTAAACAAAGTTTGCCGACACGCAAAGGTTATTCTTATGAATTATCTAATTATATTAGAACTTATAATGAAGAGCTCGACTCAGCAATTCTTAAATTTATTGATTTCAGTGAGTTAGAGTTAGAGCTCCAAGCACTGTAGCAGAATTGTTGTCCTTATTGACCTAACTCTTCTTTAATCAAATTTCGCGGAAGTGATTTCCCGAGAATGCAAAAAGTGTCTCAGTACGCAATCTTTACAAGAATGTGACGCCAAACGAAAGCGGTTTGTAACAATTAAACGCACGGGGCTATGTTTAAAATTTTGTTCGAAAATTTGACTGTTAAAGATTTTGGATGATGAGGTAATATCCCTTTGCAACAGATGGTGTTTGAGAAGTTTTGAGAGGTGAATTATAACGGTAGCCTTTAATATTAATTTATACGGTTCTTTATTTCCCACATCGTTCCACCATTGAAAAATATGGGTTTGAGTTAGCACATGACATTAGTCGACTAACGACTAGTATTTGCAACTCAGCATCTCTTGCAATGCGACATATAGCAAAGGTAAGGAAATACTTAGATCAAACGAACACTGAGCGCCTTGTACACACATTCATCTCATTCAGACTAGACTGTTGCAATAGCTTATTATACGGTTACCAGAAGGAGAGAAAATGAAACAAACCACAGAGACTACAGACCTCAGCAGTTAGGCAAGTCACAAGAACACAAAGACCAGAGAACATATCACTGAGTCCTGTCCTACAGTCTTTACATTGGCTACCAGACTGGAGCAGTGGATAATTTTCAAACTTCTTCTTTTCACTTATAAAGTTGTTACCAGTAGTCTCACAATATCTATCTAGTCTGCGTTAACAAATTACTTAGATCGGCCCCAGTCTAAAAGGCCCTCTCAGTCCCTTAGTACATATGGAAGTTGTGGAATCAACTACCAGATCTCTTGTGTCATTTGAGTCTGATCAAAAAACTTTCCTGTTCAAACAGGTATTTTGTTCGTTGCCTGTTATGGAAATTTTTGGAAACGCATTGAGGCGTACGCGAAAAGCGTAATAAGAACCGCTTATTATTATTATTATTATTATTATTATTATTATTATTATTAACACCACACTGCAGTGAGCGGTTGAGTGACTTACAAACTGGTTTTGTTGAGTTCTGTTCCTCGAATATGGGTGTCTAAGCACGCACTCTTTCAAAGATTGTAACCTCAAGCGATATTCGGTAACTTGTCTGAACTCACAGCATTGCGTCACATCAAGCGTCAAAATAACTTCTGGCACCAATAATGAGGGATACGTTAAAGGATGCGCTTCGACCTGCTCAGCATCAGACCAGTTCCAACAAACAACGAACTCAACGTCGAGTGTAAAGTTAGTTGTTGTTCCTCTGACAAGTGCAATGGAGCCCCAGAGAGAGCCCCGACGGAATCACCAGGGGGAGCCCCTAGGGGACTCCCAGCCGGGTGGAACTTATAGGGAGAGTCCCAGTGGTACCCTCATGGGAGGCCGCAGGACGAGCTTTGGGAAGAGTCTCGAGTCCTATGGTCTACGGGATTCTACTAATTGCCACCTTCACTGCCAGCCTTATGTACTTGTTCAGATGTTAACGAAGCTAAGGCTCCGTTCTGGCGAAAAAATACCGCCTGGATATCATGATCATAATTAATTCTATACAAGTATTTAATTAAATTCTCGGTGGCGTAGCCTGAAGGTTGATTTCCAGTGTCGCGTAACTTTTACGTGCGTACGTGCGTAAAATTTCCGTTAGGCAAATAAAATAGAGGCAATGTGTGAAAGGTCGCACGTAAGCGCAAAAGTAGAACCTCGCTCAACTTTACGTTAAATCTCAATACTTTATATCGAGCCTCTTCTTTATTTACGTGATAAAAATTTGCGTGCGTTATTAATCGTGCGTAGCCAAAAACACATCAGTGGAAATCAACCTTGAGTCAGGTGTAAAAGTTTAAAAAATCTACATGGTGTTATGGGTCTTATACCTAAGTGAACTCATTAAAAAATATCAAAAGTTATTTATTCTTCAGTTCTTGATATTTTTGTCATATTTTTTTGAAACGTGTTGTGAAGCCACCAAGTCGTGTTGCACGGCAACTAAGCTTGCCATGCTACACGGCAGTAGCTCGGTCGTGCTGCTGCAGTGCTAAAGTACTGGGGAACAATTGAGTTCTGTAGGACAGTAGCACAACGTTTGGTACGGCGATAAGGTTATTTGCACATTCTCAGTAAAATATGGACTGCATAGTTTTCCTCAAAACATGCATGTAAGGAATCGAGGCTGTTTTATTAGCTTTTATTGGGTAACTAATGTGAACTAACAGTTGATGTATTCATAATTTTCTATGTCATATCAGTTTAGCCGGTTTAGCTGGGGTCGTTTCGCGCGGAGGAGAGGCGAAGAGCTAGGAGAAACGGATGTTTTCGCAAGCTAATATCAGTTCTCGTCCGATGTAAGGGAGTCCGAGAAAGTTTTGCCTGTGGAAACTGGAATTTAGTAAAAATTCACTTGTGGAATGTAGACTCCTGGGTTTTGGAATCCGGAATACAGCTCAAGAAATCCGGAATCCCACTAATGATTGGATTCCAGACTCCAAGTTCCACTGATGGAGACTGGAATCCAATACGTGCATCCGGAATCCACGGCGTTAAATCCAGAACCAAGCAAGCAGACTGTTTTGGATTCCCTTCTGATGGGGCGATCAGTTCAGCTGTTAACTTGGTTTAAATTTCAGTTTTTCACACGCTCGATACTCCCATACCGTAATAATCAAAAATGACGTTGCTTCGTGAAAAGACATTTGTCACCTCCAGAATATTGATGCTTCGAGTTCCCTTGTGTCTACAGATACTAATGAATGAATGAAAATAACGTCAAACATGAACACAACAAAAGCAACAAATGAATCGTAATTTTTTAAGTGCGTACTTTTCCGAAACCGCAATGAATAATAATGCACTAATAAAGGATGCTAAGAGATCGGGCATTCCTAAGTCCTTAAAGTGAAGCTTTGAGCAGCTGTGACTAACGGTGACCCAAGTTACTGAAGACTAGGACAAGAAAGCAAAGCACGATGTCAGCTGTTTACAGTTTGGTGTTATTTGCATTTATAACTTCGTCACCGTCAGCTAAGAAAGAATTTAGAAGCTTTTTTTTTATCCGCTGTCACATTATGTAGTCTTAGTCCAAGCTCTCAAGGCGTAATTAAAACAAAGGAACAAGGAACATCAAACGTTTTCTTTATTTCAGTGATTCAGAGCGCTATCTCCTTTCAAGACTGTGAAAGTAACCAAACCAAAATTACTTGCTGGTCCTCCGTCTTGCGTATCAGCCAGCTTAAAAGGATGCGCGGCAAACTGCACAACACGCCAAAGCACTTGCCAGGCATTAGGGGCGGCTAGGTATGAAATAAACTGCTGTGAATCAGACCTCTGCAATGACCAAATTTCATCTACTCCTTCTCCAACAAGATTTCCAACTACTGGCAATCTAGCAACTCAGTCAGCAAAAGGCGACATTTTCTTGTTTGTAAATGTCCTCATTTTATTATTTTCAGTCTGTTTTTAAGTTGATATTGTATCCACGCAGCGTTAAAGTTACCGGGTAATAATTACTCGGCACCAAAGCAACACAGGCATTATATGTGTGAGTTACCGGGGATGTGTTTGGGTAATAGTAATATTGTAGTTGTTTCTTTCT